ATAACTTCATGTTGTGTCAGGGGAGGGCATAAGGATGTCTCGTCTGATGAGTCAATTTAAAGCAGCCACTTTAACATTTTCATTATTTTGAAAATGCTGCTATTCCACCCAGACTTGCTGCTTAATCTCTGCCACGCTTCATCTGGGATTCATTTGATCTGTCACAACATCCTGCTGCTGAAGTGTCTAGAGAGACTGTAAGAGAGAAATGGGGAAGGCAGAGAAGAATAAAACAGTTTTTTCTTTTACATTTTTACTCAAATAAAGAGAAATACTAAGGTGAGTCAGCTAAGTTTGTACATATATACAGTGCTTTGAAAAAATATGTACATTCTTCCCCTAATTTATGCATTTAATTTATATATGCATTTTTAGCATGCTCACTTTCGTTGCTAGCATTTCGGTTATGATAATGATCCTTTAATTAAAGGTGGACAGAAGAGGCAATAGTTAAGTAGTTTAATGATTAAGGCCAATTATAATTATTATAATGAATAATATTATAAAAAAATAATTATATTATTATTGTGTCCAAATCGTCACATTCATTGTTGAGCAGCCCCAGTTTATTTTCATACAACCACGTGCCTCTCTGCCTGCCTGCCATTTCAAGGCTTCTCTTTTCTCCTTTCTTTATGCGACCATGTTCTTTAGCTCTTAGGTCAGTTCAGCTCTTTCCTGTTATTGGCTATAGGTGGTTAAATAAATGCTAAAAGACCTCACAACAGAACTACATTGCCTATCACTGTGGGTTAGATTTTGAATGCTGGACATATTGATCAGTGGGAGATTTTCAAGCTTTCATCATGAATGTCTTAAAACAGTATTTAACAAAAATAAGAAATTGCATTTTGAATAATGTCTGTATATTAAGGCGGTTCAGCAGAGATCCTTGCAAATATCTGTGGAGAAGAAAAATAAAATGTTTGAGGACTCTATCTCTACAGTCCTGCCTTGTACTGTGATGATTGTATGAAATCATGTGTGCATGGTGTTGAAGGATGAGAAGAGCCTCACTGGGGCCCAGTTGTAGAGGAGGAAGGATGGCCGTAGGGAGTTTCCTGTCTGCCTCACGCTTCTGTACCCTCCTCAGAAAAGCTGCCTCTCCCCAGACGTTATCTCTCTCCCACACATTGCCACACAGATGTTGTGCAAAGCACTGCTGAGTATAAGCCACTATAGGGCAGAATTTCCACATGGCGTATTGTCCTCTCAACCAGACAAAAATTAAATAAAAAGGATCTGTGTTTGCATGAGCTTCCTGTGCTTTATGGCACTGAATGCCATCTTCAGTTTGTGAGGCTAAATCCAAACCTGAAGTTGTAGAAGACAGAAACGGATGAAACATTATTCCAGCAATGATTAAAGATGATTAGATGTTTGTAGCTAAACATAATAATCCCAGGGTCACCTCAATTCTTGACTGAGGAGCAGTGACTGAACTTACTATGCCCAAAACCTTGAAAGATTTAAGATGGTGTTGACGAATTGGTTGTTGTTGAAGTTTAAGAGTTTCTTTCATTTCCTTCACTTTTAAACTGTAAATCACTGTTAGTCCATTTTAAGATGTCAAAGTCATTTTCTATAGGCCTAAAATAACTAGATGTATTAGACCTATAGAAGAAAATATACATTTAACATAGATCAGCCCTTTGATTTCTTCCCTAGCACTAGTAGTGTGTATTAAATATATCTATTAATGTTACATAATGTGAAATTCTGTGTATAGGAAAACTTTCATGTGCAAAACTAGTACATCTGACCTATACAGATTTAGAAAAGACCTTAAAACAGCAGTTCTTCTAGGCCATAATGTGCACAAAGAAAAAAAATCTAAAGACCTTCAAGTGTGATTCATCTTAAAGGGATAGTTCACCTTCAGTTGCTGGTCCCCATTGAGTTGCTTGGTTTTTTTTCATACAATGGAAGTCAATGGGGACCAGCAACTGAAGGTGAACTTTCCATTTAAGTCAATGAATGTTCCTATTCAAATTACATTTGTGTACTGCTGAAATATTGTTCTAATTCTATTGATTTTTTGATGCATATTGTTATTCAATCATTTAAAATTACGAAAGAGCTGTATAAGAACAGCTCTTTCTGTTATATTGAATAATCTGAAAAAAATGAAATGACAAATTATCTTATTTTTACAAAGTCAATATGTTTTCCCCAAGTGTTAATAATTGACAATGAGAGAACACTGCATGCTTTATAGCTCTAGAACAACAACAATCGCAAAATATTTAATTAGAAAATATTCAAAACCAATACAAAAATCACTCCTTCACTACAGTTGATGCAGTTGGTGCTTTTCTGTTGTGTTTGCCTGAGGATTTGAAAGAAAGTGTCAAAAACAATCTGAATGTGAAAGATGATTCACTTCTAAACAGCTAAAGGGCACATTCCAAAGCTTTGAGTTTGGTATTTTCAGTTGGATAATGTTAACTTCATTCACAATGGATCTCCCAGCCCAACAATATAATTATTTATTTTCCACTCCTGAGCATTACAAATGGATCTATGATTATATGTTTGCTTTGTCATAAATTGGTTTAAATATGAGCCAGCCCTAGGAGAAAGGCTTCCCCAGTCTACTCTCTGTTCCTCCCAAGGTTTCCTCCTCATCTGCTTAAGAACTTACAGAGTTTTTCAACTGCTGCTGTTAAATTTATTTGAATTTTTTTATTATTATTATGCAAACAGATACTATTTACAGGAAACAAGTGCAAAATAACCAAGGCCAACAAAACATACATAACAACAGCCGACATTATTTGTTTGTGTGTGTGTGTGTGTGTGTGTAACTGGGTGTGGGGGTGGAAGTATATAAACAAAGGAAGATGTGGAAGTATAATTGAATTGAAAATGTAATGGGATCCTGCGGTTAATGGGGCTAAATTGCTCAATGAATGGATCTTGAGCACTTGCGATTATAGCATTTGAAGGACAGACATAATGTTTGCACTTGTTTAACAGGGAAGCAGACAACTGAAATGCTTACAACACATCAGTTACGTACTTCTTGTTTTTGTACTAGCATATCTATACGATCATGTAGGCAACTTAAGTAATCGCATGTTTAGTATATAGCTGTTGACAGTCGTTCTTGACAAAGGGCAAACATCTGACCCATCTATCTGGTGAGTAGTGGTTCCACTCAGGTGAGAGTTTGAACTCTGCTCTATTCTGAATCAATAAATGTACTATGAGTACACAAGCTTATTTACTATGGGGGAACAGCCCACTGAGCATGTTGACCCGATTCCCTCCTTCCAGTCTAAAGGAAACCGTCCAACACATGCATCACGTAGGCATACTGCACGCTGTCACGTAGACCTTGATACGAAAACTAACAAATCCGTATTAACTCATAAGCTCGCACTTCATTTACGAACCAAATGTTCTGTTCAGATTTACATAATGCTATCTTGTCGGACCGCTACAAAAGATTACAACTTAATTTTCCCATCAGACAGCTTTGTTTTAGCGCAAACAGGTGACTGTCGCTTAAAATGAATCAGTGCAGTATCGTTCTGTGAAAAGGGTTTGGCCAAACAAGGTCATTAAACCTTATCCAGAAATGTAAAACTTTGCATGACTCTTTGTCATCACGTTAGTACACACACACACACACACACACACACACACACACACACGAACAGCTGACGGCAGTGAATATCAACAACGCGTGTCCGTTCGCGTCATATGGCCCGCCGCTCTCTGATTGGCCAGCGCGACTCACCAGACATGACCGCGCTTGTTTTCTGCAGAGGAAGCGCGCATGTGGCAGTGTAGTACTGTGGAGTGAAAGAGACTGCAGCGTTCCGCGAAGAGATGTTGTGACCAAACAACACATCTGAAAGTGTCTTTTGTTAGCTTAGCGTTTTGCAAAATAGTTTTGAAAAGCACAGACGCGCTGCGGTTAAGACGGGGACACTGCAGGATATTTGACTAGAAATGTGTGAAAATATTGCTTTTCTATCAAGTGCATTCCTTTATAGCGATCCGTTTGTTAACAGTTTCCAGTGCTGTGTTGATTTCCTCACTATCTTGCGTCTGGGCTGAAACATCATGCCTGGACATCTTAATTAGCTGCTGATTGTAGTCCGAGGCATGTTTGTGCCATCCCCTCCAAGCCTTCTCAGTCAGCTGTGCCTCTTTGTCATGCTGACATAACCTCCTTCTTTCTCAATAAGGGCGTGAAAGCAGATTACGCTCCTTGTTTTTCATGCTAATGGTCAGAGAGATGGTAAACAAAGTGCTTTACTGGCTCCAAGTGGTGCGTTCTACATGTTGTTCCAGGGTGTTTTTTTTGTTTTCGAGTTGGCACCAGCTGATTTTGCTTGACCAACTGGGATTAGTGCTCTGCTAGTATTTCTCTCAACTTTCTTTATGAAGTGGCCAGTTAAGAGATGCAATGGATTTGCAAACTAGATTTATCTGTATATACTGAACAGAGACCATTGATGTGTGAATTTCTATTTTGTAGTCTTCAGATCACTATATCTTTTAAATATAACTCTTTAAAATTAAAATTCTGCATCTAATAGTACTAACACGAGTCAAACAATTGCAAAGACAGTATTCGGATTGCCATTTAAACAGTTTGCACTTCACTGTTTGGTTTTGGAGGATTAAATGTTTGCTCTTTTTGGAGACTGGCCAGTTGCCCATGGGTGAGGCATGTGAGACAGTCTTGGCCTATGAGGGGCTATCATATTTTACAGGGCGCCACATCCACACAAGCCCTGTATAATTTGTGCATATACAAGGCTTGTGTCATATAGTGCATACTAATTATAGCCACAATGTTGAGGGGCCAAGTGGGCTTTAACAGGACCAGCTTCGGCTTTGTGACTAAACCAATTTTGAATTGCTCAAAGCACCATTTTAAATGCAAACCTGGGGTGCTGGAACAAATTTAAGTAGTTAGAAAGTAAGCAGAGTGCTCTGAGAGATGCTTGATAGATGAAAAAAAAAATACACTCTAACATTTGTATTAAAAACATAAAAGAAAAAGAAAATCTGAGTCCCATCATACAATAGTTTTAACTCTGACTGCTCAGAATCTAAAGACTGTTTCGCCGACAAATGTTGACTCACCCAGACTGCATTTTGGGGCAAAAATATGGGCTAAAGTCATGTGGTGTATTCCAGCCTTTAGTCAAAAAGATATATTATTACTGGAATTACACAGAGACAGATTTCCTCAAACACCAGTAAGCCCTTCAGTTATTATCACGCATGTTTTCTCAAAACGTTTTTTAACATTTATCTAAAGAAAGTTCTAACCTGGAACTAACTCGTATTTCCCTTAAGTCAAAGTACCTCACAGAAACTGGACTTTGCCAATAATGTGCAGCTTTCACTAACTCTGGCTGCCCTGTCTCTGGGCCTCTGGTGGACGTTTGACCGTTCCAGGAGTGGCTTTGGTCTAGGGCTGACCACTGCTTTTTTAGCCACACTCATTGCTCAGCTGCTGGTCTACAATGGCATCTACCAGTAAGTTGTGACTCACGCATATTGAGACATTGCAGTCGAAAACAGCTTGTCATTTATCATCAATTACCAAGTGACAGCTGAGTCACAGGTTCACTTCTGTATTTATATTACATGCTCAGTCATCAGATAAGAGATTTTTGTAAATGTCTGAATGTCATTTTTCCCTCATAGCTAAGACTTAACAGTAGTTGGATGTCATTAGCAAGTTGTTTCAGTGCATTTCTTTTAATGTTTCTCAGGTATACGTCTCCAGACTTCTTGTATGTACGTTCGTGGCTGCCTTGTATATTCTTTTCTGGTGGAGTGACAGTAGGAAACATCGGCCGACAGCTAGCTATGGTAAGCAACTTTTCCCCATGTTTTCTGCTCACCAAACCCTTTTCCTTTCTTTCATATTCCATGGAATCATTTAAGTACAGTAACTCTGTTAGATTACTCATGTATTGTCTTTAGTTTCCTGGAGTGCTCTGCACTAGGCCAGGTGGCACTATTGTGTTCAAAAACTAAACTTAAATGGGGCACACTTACAGAAGCAAAAGTGAACCTGAATATCCTGGAATGGTTCATCAGCTATTATTCACAACACTCTGTGTAAAGGTTTTGCTCTTCTCATAACCAGCCTCAATCTACTGTAGCCGAGAAGTGCAAAGCAAATCACAATTCTGAAAACAAAATAACAAATTACAAACGCAAATGCAAGTCTAAAAAACAAAATAACAATTCAGAAAGCACAACAACAATTCAGAAAACGTTATAACAAGTCAGAAAACACAATGACAAATCAGACAAACCGATATAGCCGTTAACGTCTGTGATTTCATAAACTGATTCAGACGTGGTTGGGATTCAAGTGGTATTCAAGTTTTTAACATTACGAAACGGCAACAATGACAAATTTAGCTTTAGTTTTTGTATTTGATGAAGGACAGAACTTTATCCAGATTGGACCATAAGTTAGCTGAAAAGTGGTAGACGGTTTGCCTTGTAACTTTAATAGATGTGTGGAAATATTGATGACTTTGTGTAAAACTAGGGATCTAGACTGTACTTTTTGCATTTTCTTACAACACACTTAAATTTGACTAGAAATGTGTGAAAATATTGCTTTTCTCTTCCAATACTTAGTCAGTTGCTGCATATTAATATTTCATTTTTAGGCGTTTTGCACAGTGGTACGGTTTATTGCCTGTTCTTATATTCTGAGGTAATTAGGAGGTGAATGCAAATCAAGTGGTTTCCATTTTGTTCCCATATATTTGGTTATGCTAGATGTGCAAACACTGCATTTACTTACTAACGGACTGTCTTGTTTCTCTACAGGGCTCAACGGAGAAGCCTCATAATGACTAAGTGGGTGTCAGAGGTCATGAAGTGAGCTACAAAGAGAGCCAAAACAGAGGGCCTTCAAACTATCTTGGAGCCTTGTATAATTTGTGCATATACAAGGCTTGTCATATATATAGTGCATACTAATTATAGCCACAATGTTGAGGGGCCAAGTGGGCTTTAACAGGACCAGCTTCGGCTTTGTGACTAAACCAATTTTGAATTGCTCAAAGCACCATTTTAAATGCAAACCTGGGGTGCTGGAACAAATTTAAGTAGTTAGAAAGTAAGCAGAGTGCTCTGATTTCCAATACTTAGTCAGTTGCTGCATATTAATATTTCATTTTTAGGCGTTTTGCACAGTGGTACAGTTTATTGCCTGTTCTTATATTCTGAGGTAATTAGGAGGTGAATGCAAATCAAGTGGTTTCCATTTTTTTCCCATATATTTGGTTATGCTAGATGTGCAAACACTGCATTTACTTCCTAACGGACTGTCTTGTTTCTCTACAGGGCTCAACGGAGAAGCCTCATAATGACTAAGTGGGTGTCAGAGGTCATGAAGTGAGCTACAAAGAGTGCCAAAACAGAGGGCCTTCAAACTATATTGGGTGTTCCTGGTTTCTGTCCAAGCATAACTTCTGCTCCTAATTTTGCTCCACTTTATAATGATACAAGAAAACAAAGAGCAGGTTGGTTTGAATTGGCCTGGTGTGCCATGAACAGCACCTTTGAACAGCCAAAAGAATCCCCCTGGCATTCATTACTACCATCAGCATTGTCGTTGTTACAGCTCCTTGCAGTAGAGTTACTGGTAACGTCAGTCTCCTTATTACCAGGTTGCTGGAGTGCCACTATTGGACTGTACAAAATCATAGCTAATTTCACTTTCCTTTCAGTGAAGGTGAGCGAGTGAAAAGTAGTGGTGAAACTTTGTGTATACAAATGAGTGTGTGTGCTGGTCCTATGGATAAGGCCAGGCAAAAAAAAAAGTTGGTGTTGAAGTGCACACTTTTGTTTTACTTTGCGCTGGAGAACTGAAAGCGAAATCAAAGGGGAAAAAATGAAGACTGTGCAAAATACCTAAAATATCCAAAGAGGTCTGTGTACTGTCTATATAGGATTTGTTGTAGTTTTATTTTTGAAAACGCTCGCAGCACTGCGAGTCTCTCATACAGACTGACCACCTTGAGTGTTATTTTGAGTACCAGAGAGGTTTGATTTGCCAATCACATTTGTGCCGACTGGTTAGTGTAGTATATTGACTGAATTGATTGTGTTTTTATCATACTTTGTTGCTAACGCAGACCAAAAGTAAAACTAGAAACATTAGTTTTCAAGAAATTAAGTGGCACCTTGAAATAAGAATCAAACAAGTTAAAACATCAAGGATGCTTCTATCTGTATTAATGTAAACTCACAGAAAAGGTGTAATGAAGTCCATTTAAAGGTTTCTAAATCAAAAGGTTGGAAACTTGGGATAACTAAACGTCCAGAGGACATTTGTACTGCGGCCTCGAAGGTTTGCAATCTGTGATTGCCTTTATATTATAGCATTAAGTGCTTTTGTCACTTCTTCTCCAGTATTGTAATTTTTATTTTTCTTTGTACTTTATTCATTGTGTATTGCTTATCACCTGTAGCCGCTTCTATATCTAATATAAGAGGAATCACTGGGCTAGTGTGTCGGTTTGGGGGTCTTCGCAAATGAAGTGCAATCAGTTTCTTTGAGCCTGGTATTCTTTCATATTTATTACTTTTTATAATGTTAAGGTACCCCAGACAACTCATATGTAGTATAGCAACATACCAGCAATAAACACATTGTTTATATGTATATGTAAAGATGTAATATGACGGCAGACTCATTTTTAAAAGAAGTCACACACAAAAGATAATCTTGCAAATGATACCAATGACCATTTCCACTGTTCTGAAAAAAAAAAAAAAAACACCATGTTGTTACTAGCAGTAGTAAATTGGAGAAATCAATCAAATGCTGTGTTGTATTTTGGGAATGTTTTAAAACGGTGACGACGTTGCTCTCAGGAGTAACTGACTCTTTCAGAACCTCTCTGCTTCAGGGAACGAGAGACGTAAAACTGAATGAAAGCTTTATTTAGAGGGGAGTGAGAAATGCAATAATGTGTTTCTAGGAGTGAGTGTGCATGTGTGTCTTTACCATTTAATTTATATTATGTTCAATGAATGAAATTCAAATAAAATGGTGTTATACAATGGTCTTTGAGTTCTTCATTCACTCTTGAGATTTGTGAGCTAAACAAACATGCATGCGTTTTATTCATTAATACCAGGCAAAACTAAATGTTTTGTTTTTGTTTGCACGGCATTGTGAATCATAAACAGTGGTTAGGGTTTAAAATATACATTATACAATGCGTAAAATACATCCATCTTTTTAAAATGGCTTGTAAAGGCTCACTTTTAACCTTGAAAACATCTGTCACCAAAAAAAAAAATCTTAACTAAAGTTGCCCAATAACTTCAGGCCCAGACATCGGTTTTTGTTTTAAGTGCATTGAATGTTACCTTTTGCATTGTTCCTCACACCACTGAGCAGAGTAACTTATTGAGAATGAAGCAATCTTCAACACATTTTATGTGTGAAACATTACTGACATTCTTGTAGCATTTGACCAATCTAATTATCGAAGTATTTATACCAGCATGTTAAGTACCTTTATACAATAGAATATGTTGTTTCTAGTTATACATTTAGTGTACACACAAGCAAATACAAACAAACAAAACAAAAAACCCACTGATCTTCATCCTTTGTGATTTCAGTCATCAAACTGATCAGCATGTTTTCCACAAATAAATCCTTCTCCCTCGCTGTCTCATCATTCACTTGCCCTCGGTTTGGACCTATGAGGAAGGAGTCATCTGAGACAGCTTCTCCTACCCCCTCATCTATTTATATCCGCAATTAGGATTGACCATACATGTAAATGTGTGTGAAAGCACATACTTGATACAATTTTACTCATCCATTAAATTTATATTCTCAGAATTTCTTACACAAAAAAACATCACACATATTCTAATATTCTGTTCTGTGTACACTGTTACTGTTTACCCTACCACATCATCTTCCCTTCAAAGTCAAGAGCAAACATGAGCTGTCCAACTGTATGTTAAATTAAAAAAGGATGAATCCTGGTGTGCCATAGAATGCAATGCCGCTTCATGGCAAAGTGTCCTGAACTTGAGATGACAGTGTGTGCATCTTTCAGAGTTATTTAGCACAGGGTGTTTGGTTAAAGTTAACTGGTCTAAGCTGTTGTATGTTCTGCCATATACAGCTGCCCTTGATGTTGTTGTATGTGAAAATAATGCTCCGACTCAGCAGTGGTGCTGCTTGCTGTTATGAGTATCCTCATCAGTGGAACCAAAGTTAACTACTATGTTTATAATTCATTATTATTATTATTGACAAGGATTTAAATGTTTTATTTTTGCAATTATTAAAAATGGATAATTATTTAATCAAATGACCAACATAATATATATAGAAGTGTAATTACACATCATTTGACGAGATAATATATCCCATCTTTTCTACCATTTCAAATGCTCATCATTCTCTCTAGCATATAAGAATACTTGAGATGCAGTCAGACATTATCCAATACAATCAGTAGAGTGAAACATAAATCATAATGCATTACAAAAGGTGGATGTGTGTTAGGAGTTGAGGTGCAGGATGTGTGACTGTGGTGGATGCTTTGTCAAATTCATATTCCAACAATAAATTAAGCTGCCCAAGAAAAGTTAAGAAAAAGTGTTGAATTGTGTATTGCAAATACTTGAAATGTATTATATATATATCTCGGTTAAACTGGCACATTTTGACCCTTCATAGAACGCTTTCATAAATTTGGTTCCAATTCACGTCAGCAGATGGCAGTATTGTACGTTTTTCAACAGTACCGCATTACATTAAAGATGGCCCCCTTCTAGTAGCGTGAACGCTGCCTGTTCCTATCAAACTTCAACAGTGACAAGCATGTCATTGTGTATAAGAGATGTCCCTTCACATCTAAAACAAAAGCCAGATGTTAACTAAAAATGTGGGAATTCTCAACACCAAAATAAAATCGCTTTTAGCAATGTTTGAAGTACATTTCAGCGTTTTTGGTGGTTACTGAACACAAAATCAGCAACACATGTTGAGTAAAGAAATACAAGCATAACGAATGTGTGAAGTTGCATCAGAACTGCACTGAACAATACAGATTTTCTGGCGGTGAAAGTGTTGTGCTTATGAATCTGGGCTGAGATTTGAACCTTGGTCAGGGCAATATATAAAAAATTTCTGAGCAAGTTCTTTTCAATAAAAGTTTATATCAACCATTCTGTAGGGCAAAATAAAGGTACACACAAAAGATAAAGAACAACAAAATAAATGTTTGTGTGTGTTGGTGGATTTTCCATGTGTTTGTATGGAGATGACTTGCAGAGGCTTTAACAGGCGTTGAGGATTTAGATTGCTCTTTGGCCCTGGGTAAGGGCCCCCCCACCGCTCCTCTAATGGAAGATGATTCAGTCGAACGGACGAGAAGACAGAATCGCAATTACCCAGACTTACTGAACTCACCCCTGACATTTCTTTGGCTTCTGACTGAACTAGCACAGAAGTACAAGAGGACAGGGAAGTGGAGAAGAGATGAAGGAGACTGGGGGGATAAAGAAAGAGAGAGAGAGAAGATAGAATATGTTAATGACAAAGAGACTGAGACACTAAGAAAATATAGATTACACAGAGTACACAAGCCCTCTTAAAGGTCTTGCACCTGAAAAGATATAATGCAGCCATATAGAAACATGCACAATTTGACAAAAACGGAATAAAAACACAGACAAAATTAATCGCCGCCTTTTTCAACTAACAAAATTATCTTAAATTGGACTGCCAGGCTGTGAAATAATTTCTGCCTCAGTCAATACTGTCACTGATTCTAGGGATTGACGTGTGCATGTTAAGCCACAATGGCAATCTCTCTTCATTCTCTCATTCGGCATCTCTCGCTCAGTGTCTCATCACCGTCTCTGAGG